AGCGAGACAGAACTCCACACAAGGTCCTCATATCATGTGGTTACAGGCGGTCGGCTCATATCATTTCACAATAAATGAAGTGCCTCAAAACTGAAATAATCAAAATAATGAGGTTTTTATATATATATATATATATATATATATATATATATATATATATATATATATATATATATACACATAGTGTACACATAGCAAAACAATAGCAATAGTAAAAATACCCAGTTAACATTTTTATCCCACGGTTATTGGCCAATCACTGAGGTGTCAAGTGAAATAAAATTGAGATGATAACGGAATGAGAGAGGAATGCTCACCAACACCCACATAAAAACTTCAAATTCAGGGTGAATCAATAAGATGCAGTAATCTTATACAATACATAAATCAGTTCAATAAAAATTGCATTATCCTCTAAATGTCAGCACAGTGGGCAGAGCCTTCGACAGAGTGAAGGAAAAGATAGAGAGCTCAGTGATAGAGAGAGAGAGAAAAAATTAGAGGTTCCAACTTGGAAGAGGATCCGTTTTTTCTGCCACTTAATTTGTCAGAAATGAGTTCCTGCCACCTGTCTCCTGAGCATGTCAGAAGTCATGCCTTTCAAAATTGTATCTCTAACTGGCCTGTCATTGTGTGTAGCTCCCTTCAGACAAGTGTGCATTCAGCACTCAGTGGGGCAGAGTCTCAGGATTTCATTATAGGTCCCGGGGTTGTCTCTCTGGTGCAAGTGAAGGAAGAAGCATGACAAGGTTAGCGGAAGTAGGTGCAGGTCACATTTGCCTCCGCGTTTTGGGATCACTGAGAGAAGTTAGAAAGCTGAAGTGCTGCACGCTTGTACGTTTTCCTGCCTTTGCACAGACAGCATGAGGGAAACACAGCCATTATCATGTCATGCATAACTTTGTACAACTCTGCAGTCTTCAGTGAGGTGACTCTGACGCTCCAAAGTCAGGCTTCTTCAGAAAGATACACCAGGACAAAGAGCTGAAATTCCCTGCTGTCTAGCTCCTTGTTCTGAGACGTTCTCTGTTTCTCTGTCTCAGGTCAGAACAGGCTCAAAGAGGTCCCATAACACCAATTTGTGGAGCTTTTACTCAATCAATCACCGGCTTTTTCTCTTGGAGGGATTCATGTTGTTCCTCTCCACAAACAAACACGAACGGCGGGCTGTCATAACCCTCCGAGGTGGTGTATCTGCTGTCTTTTTTTTGTCTTTGTTCTGCGCCTGGAGATTAGATTCTTCGCCTGACCTTGAGTCGGACTGCTTTTTCGCGCCGCAATCTATAAAGAGAAACACACAGAGAACAGCACAAAAGTGGCTGTGGAGCGGCCCGTTTGATGGGAGAGGGAAGGTGCGCTTACTCGGGCTGCGTCGCTGGCTGCATTGATTCCTGATGTGAAGAGAGAGGAGCTGATTTAAAGCCAGCAGTCTGAAGATGGCTGGTAGAGACAAGCCAAGGGAGGGAAAAAAATACAATTATTTGCTCTTAGCTGAAAAAAAAAAAAAAAAACGTGTTGCCCTCACATTAGAAGACCCTCTCTGTTATGTAAGAAACATCTCAGCAGAGGAGCAGAAACCTACTTCCTTAAATCATAATGTGCACTTGCAAATTAATGAAGAGTAGTCTTGGTGGAACCACGCAAATTTTAGACTTCAGATTAATCCTACTGTTTGAACAGGAAGCTAATGTGCGTTTGCTCTCAATTAGCACGTCTTCCAACAGAATGTATAAAACAAGGATTTGTATTTAACTACAGATTCTGAATGGCATGTGTATTGTGAGAAGGCCTTCGTTATGGCACAGAGAAAGCTGACTCCTCTGTTTCTGAGAACAATGGACATCAACCTCCATGCTTTCTCTCTCTTTTGCAGTGCCTTTGAACCCAGGTGTTTCCCTCTGAGTGACTCCACTCGCACTTGAATTACAGTGCCCTTGCTCCACACTGCTGCCCTGGTAGCATGGCCAAACTCATTCCAAATGCGAATCCTTGAATCCTCTCAGGTTGATCAAATGAAGGGAGAAATAGTCAGAGAAAATGTATTCTTTCTACAAGGTAGTAGGACCTTGGCACGGGCCAGCATCGGAAGACTGCTTCATTATGTGTCCATCCATGATGTTTGTGGTGTATGTATTTGCTTAGTGGTATACATTTATTAACCTGACAAAATAAAGATGAACAAAAAGAGCATGATACGTGATCAGATTTTTTTAAACGCTGAACAAAGCAAACAGGGACCTAGGTAGGTTGAATTCCACGGATGGGTTGGATGAATTACACAGATCTTTATGAATTTGTGAACCAGTGGTTGATATCTTAGCACAGGACTAATAAAAATGACACATGTCTCATTACACACTGGTCCTGAGTCCCAGACACCTCATACTGCACAGTGCTAGAGGTTTGAGAAAAGGTTACAGAGGAAAAGCAAAGAAATCCTTCTGCTTTAAGCATTAAGCAAAACTTAACCTCAGGCCACCTCTCCCCTGCTGAGAGCAAGTCATTTTATAAGGGGGGGACTCTACCTTTTGATAATCTGAAATACCTTCTTAAAATCCTCGCCTAATCTCCGTTCATGACTATAGAGAGAATGTTTGCTCTCTGCCACTTAGCACCCACTTCACGTGTGCCTATCTCATTTTTCGAGCTTGGGGTCAGCTCCTGTCATCAAAAAATCAAGTCCCCAGATTGTTTCTTTGTTCAGACCTAAAATTAAGGTTCTACTTCTTTTAAAGTAAGAGTTTAGGAGTTAAGTACACATTAATTCTACGCCCTCTCCCTAGAATTCAGAGTAGATTTCTTCTTTATCATACGTACAGAACAATAAGCTGTAATGCTTTTGCTGGTCCTTTGAAGAAGTGCATTATGGGAGACATCTTGTGCTTGTTTTACTGGCCTTGGTGACCTGCAGGTGGTGCTATATAATACACATCCTCTGCCTCTTTACCTCATTGGCTCTGATATGGAAAACACTGAGTGACTTGACACTAAAGAGGCTCTCATCCATTATTCAAGGAGCAGTTGCAGAGCAGTGACCAGCCCTGTGTTTAAAATCCATATCTCCTGTCACTTCCAATCTCTGCCATGGACGTTCGTGTCTTGCCCCTGCTCCCCTCGGGATCCCGCAGAACTACGCTGATCTTCAAGGGGCGCTGAACTGAGATCAGCCGATCTGAACCGAAACCAACAGAGAACAGTGGCCAGCTTTCTCAATATGGCACCCCTGACCTGCCAGCTCCATTACGCACACTTAAATGCTCAATTAACCCAAAGCTCTGAGTTCATTTCACATCCAAATCTACCCAGAGAACCTAAAACAGAAACTGAAAGTGTGTAATGTGGTGTATAAGCTTGTATTGCCACTGTCTTTCATACCCTACTACAGCCACGTTGGTCAGAAATAAAATGACACCACCTTCTAGTCATGATCCAGTTCCATTTCCTTGTGTTGCCTTCCATTTAAAAAGTAATTTTCCTGCTGAAGGCAAATTTCGTTATGAAGACAAATATCACCAAACAGGAATTAGAGTGTAAGTCTGGTTTTTAAGCCTATTTTTCCTGTCAGCTTTCAAAAGCTGAAGTTGCGATTTTGGGAAAACATGAAATGATGTTGCCTTGTGGCTGTTATCCCGCACTGTTTTTGTCCTGCTGTATTACACTTTAAAAAAGTAGTTGCTGTGGGCAACTTTTGTCACAGATACAAAACTTGCAAAATAGAAAGCATGAGAAACAAATTTGTCCATTCTTAAGTCAGTTTCTCCCAGCAAGGGATGCGCTATTCAAGTATAATTTGAGCCAACAGGCCTTAACAATAATATGAATGGACATTTATGTGGAATAAGTATCACATAAGAAGGTTTCTACTGCTTTTTTTCTTGTTCAAGTTGTGTATTACTTGGTTGCATCCAGAGATAGTCAAGATAGAGGGGCATTCACAGATGTTGTTTTGTGGGGGACGTTCCTGGCTCTGGGCTGCTCAGTATCCTATAATGGGGTACTTGTGCAGTATTCCCATATGCATTAACAGAAAGGGCACAATTGCCCGCAGACACATAAATCTCAAACGTCCATCTCATCAGTTAAGAATCTCTCATGGAAAAATCAAAAACCCCCTCTCTCCAATGTCCTTGCTCATACATTCTTGAGCAAATTACACCTAAGCTTAGAAGCACCTCTTCAAGACAGCTCTTCTTCTGAGAGTAGAAAGGCATATCCTTACTTCTCTTTATGTCCCATCTTCATTGTCTCATGCTGTCATCCATCAAGTTCATCCACTGCTGTCTGATACATTCTTATTTCTTCTTCTTCTTCTCATTATTATTGTTATTATCATTATTGTTATCATTATATTATTATTTTGTTATACTTATTATAACTACCCGTATACTCTCCATCTCTTTGTTCCATTTCTCGGTCTCTCTCTCCACTAGATCGCGTGTGGTGGAATGAATGGTACATCAACATTGAGACTCTTCTCTCCATCTCTTAAAGACGTACCTTTTTAAGCATCAGCATTTCTACAATTCTCTCTCTTTCAAAAAATGGCATTATTTGCCCCTGCCAGATGTTTTTCATCAGCGTGTTTGAATCTGTGCATGTACTGCTTGAATGTTAATTCATCAGTCGTACAATGTACAATGCAGCACGGAGTGTTGAATTCAAAGACACGGTATGTTGAATTGGCAACCTTTTCACCTCATGCATTGTAAGCCATGCTGGATGATGGGATCTGATGAATAACGATAATATAATGAGCAATATAATTAAGATTACACATCATTGTCATTTAGTAGACACTTTTAGATGTTTAGATGTTTAGTTTAGTTAGTTTGTCACACGTTATCCATTTATACAGCTGGATATTTACTGAAACAATTCAGGGTTAAGGGCCTTGCCTGAGGGTACGGCAGCAGTGCCCCAGCAGGGAATCAAACCAGAAACCTTTTGGTTATGAGCCCTGCTCCTTATGTGTACACCACGCTGCCATCTGAGATGTTTATCGGAAAGGATGGGATTCGAACCGACACGAGCAGAGCGCAATGAATTAGCAGTCCATTGCCTGTACGACTTGGCCACCCCGCCCTGCAAATCATGTGAACCGCTCCGGAGCTAATAATAATGGGCAACACAGAATGCAGGATCCAGGCCATGTGCTAAGTACGGCCATCCCACGCTGTTCGTTTCCCCCCGGGGCGGAGAGTCCTCGGGTCTGCGCTGACCTGCCTGAGACACTGCGTCCCCCCGGCGGGCCGCGGAAAGGCATCACGAACACCTGTGGGAATCCCGCGGTCTCAAAGCCGCGGGAAACAGGGCGTGACGCCCTTGTGTCTGCATCTCGTCTCTCAGGAGTGCGTTTCGGGTGCATGTGAGCGATCCCGGCCATGATCACGGCGCATCGGCAGCACCGGCTGGTGAACTGCATACGGGGGAAGCAGAGCGCTTATCTCCGTACTGATAACTTCCCTGAACCGGTTTTTTGATCACCTTGTTAGGAAAACTAAGTTAAATAAAGATCTTTGACTAGCAGCTGATTCCTTTTCACTTTATTTCTCCCGTTGAAGTAGTGTTACCTTGGTGCACTTCAGATGAAATCAATTTAGTCATAACCAAAAAGGCTGGTTGAAAGGTGGAACCCATCTCTGGTGTCTTTGTTATAATCAGCACAGTTTAATGCCAGCCAATTGCTTTGTTACAGCGTGAGTGATTTAATCTGAACTATACAATGGCAACGCTCCCTCCTGAGGCGTAATTAAGTAAAAAGGAATCAGGCGATCACGGGCGATCCTCACTTAAATCGTAAAGCTAGTTAATCACGCGGAACAATCAAAAGCAGGGTTGGGTGGGGGAACACTGGGTTAAACAGAGAGATCTCCCAGCCCTGTATTCCCCGCTCACAGTTCACCGGCACCCGGCGTTGCAGATCATTCCGAGTCGGGGCCCGATCAATCGTGGAGTAATTGCTGTGTGTGTTGGAACGTGACGGACTGCACGCTTACAGCACCCCGGAGGGTGGCCCCCGTGACCCCTTCACCTTCTTCCCCCGTTCCTCCTCCATCTTCCTCTACATTAAAGACACCCTGTCATTCAGCGGGAATGGGGGGGGGGGAGGTCTGGGGCACGTGTGCCTGTAAAAATGACTGGGTCTTTGTTTTTGTAACCAGCATTAATGATCAATAAAAAGACTGTTGCGCATTTGATCATTACCCCTGTCAGCACAGCAATGATGCCGCAATAAATTTGCAGGTGCCAGCTCCTGTTTTTGTCACCTCTAATTTGATTGGCCGAGATACCGAGAAGATTTTCCTTTTTAATGTCTTTGTAGTGCAGATGAAACGATGTTGCGTTTTGCGATTGCAGGCCTCCGGGTCACTTAGTTTTACTGGACGGACGGTCCCCGTGCGGGGGAGCTGCGGTTGAAACAGAAAGGCTGTGGTAATCAGCACAGACATGCCTCTACGAGTTGCCTGATGCGCTAAATTATCACCTCTCACACGGTACTGTGACCGAGCACCTGGGGGGACTGATGTCGAGACCGTGCGCATGGGAAGCGCTTACCCCCCTGCACTGCTAAGTCTGCACGCATTTTGCCTCGTGCCTCCCGGCGGCAGCCCGTCGCATTTCAGCCGCATCAATCACCCTCCGGAGATGCATCGCTTCTGTCGAGGAGAACAAATTATGAAATATTGAAAACGCTCCCAAATACATATCTGCCACTCGGCGCCCCCTCGTCTTTCCAATTTCCCGGAGCCGGGGCAGGAGGAAGCTTTGCTGGGGATCCAGGCAGATGGATCGGCCCTCCTTTCCAGACACACCTGCCTTTAACCCCCCCCCACCCTCTTGGCCATAAAACCACAGAGCATTGATATTTTGTCACATTTCAGTCAATAAAGTTTTTTCCCCCCGAAGCGCTCCACTCTGTCACCTGTTAATTACATCCTTAATATTTAAACAGGACTGGGGAAAAGTTCAGGGGTAGGGGTGGGAAATTGTAAAAGTTTTAATATACCTGCACATCTAACTCCTGACACCTTAATCCTCGGGACTGTCACTGTTTTATGCCTTAATCTTCTCCTCGTCTCTTCCTCTCCCTCTCTTTCTTTCCTCTCTCCCTCCATCTCTACTCTTCCATCACCTCCACCTGGGGCTCGGTGTGGATGTTAACAGATGGGCAGCAGACAGATCCATCTTTTACACAAATGAATGTTTAGGGAGACAAACTGGGGGCCCAGACACTGCGCTCAGACTCAAACGGCGAGGTGCAGTAGCTGCTGGAAAGGACTCCCGGCCGGCACTGTGCACTGGCGTGCCCCACCCGCTTTTCAGATTCATGAGGGAGATTTTTAAACGGGAGCCGTGTCTGGTCACCTTCTCTTACACCTTATCAGACCCCCCTCAGATCACAATTTTCACAATCTCCCAATCGCTTTGTAGCATTCCAGCATTCTCTTATCTCCTGCCTCTTCCCAGTCCTCTTTCTTATCCAGGATCTTTGTTAATATCCTGCTCTTAATGCTTTTTTAGAAGGTACCCAGGGTGGTTAGATTGCGTCTGCATTTTGAGCTTGTGGTTTACTATCAGAAGCATGTGCTGTAGTAAGAACAGCCGCTTCAGTGTGAGGGCGGAGGTGGTAATACTCCATGCTGTGTCAAGGTCTTCTTATTTATCACTTTCCTAATAAACCCAAATTTCTGTTCCAGTCTCATTGTTTGGCCTTCTTACAAAAATATTGAGGCTGGCAGCAACTCTTTCATTTTTTTCGAACATCACACCCCTGTAAATGAAGATGGAATCATGTAAAAAGAATAGTTTTGTTTTGCCAAAAGGTTGTTGCTGAAGCTGTGAGATGGAGTTTCAGACGTGGAAGGAGTGAAAAATTATCTCATTATCACAGTAAAGGGGAATGTGTGCAACTCGATGAGGAACTGATGACAGGTGGAGAGGAACTCACAACTGCCGCACTGCAAAGACTTTATCACCAGCAAATCTCACGTGCATCAATCGGGTGCTACAGTTTCACTAACTGCTCTGTTACAGGTTCAAAGCCTCAACTTTAAATGTGAAATGAAAAAGAGCAACACAAACAGTGGAGGTGTCTTTCTGTGTGTGTCTGCAATTATTTAGAGCGGGACTGTGAAATGGCAAATACAGAAGGAGAGAATAGGATTGTCACAGATTGTTCCGTTAGATACCAATGTAATTATTGCAGTTTAACATAACGGTCCATCTTCGTGATTGTACTTGCTTTGCTGTTGCTGGACCCAATTTGTATGTTTTTGTGTGCTTGGTAAATACAGTAATATTCTCTGTGCAGTAGACAAATGCAAGCTGTACCTCAGTTCAAAATATTGAATCAATATCACTGCATCTTTTACACAAGAATAATGTAACGTAATAACCAACATCACTGCATATTTTATTGCCATTCTATACAGGCCATACATTATTAATCTTAAAAAAGAAAAGAAAAGCATTTGTTGTACCTAACATGCTTTTTCAGTATATATATATATATGGGAAAATCCTATTTATTATTGGCTGTGATATTTCCACGCATTAACAACAGTACCCCATTGGAGGACAATGAAAATCTATGAAAGGCGCTATCAAACCATTCAGAGTCAGTGCAGGAATGGGCAAAATATATGCAGCACCTGTTCAACCTGGTGAAAAATAAATTTGTAGAGTCTGGGCACTTTAGTATGTAGAATGCATTCAGCTTTTTACCAAAGATAGCATTTATCCTTATGATTAGAGGACTGATTTGTGCATTATTACCAGATGGAGATCTACATTGAAAATTAATATCTGATCAAGACCATGGCTTAGATCCTGAGGGGTCAGCTATGCCTCTACAGTGCAAAACCATTGCGTGGCTTTCCAAGCTATATTCATTGTCGACCTTGTGATAGCAAAGCTGGGTGTAAAATTAGTTTTATATATTAATATTAGTATTATATATATTTTTATTATTCACGGTAGTCACTGGTAACATGAATACACTTATAGATTTATAAAACAAGACCTGTTGTTTCAAGGTCTGTGTTTAAAGTAGTCAACAGTGTGACTTATGTGGCGAGGGGTAATAGGATTGAAACAAAGGTGTTGCAAGGTTAAATCAAGGATTGGTCCACCTACATGTTGCTTCATGAAATATGCAGCTGTGGAACTGAGTAGTGTGTAAATAATGACAGTATGTGGAAAAGACAATTAAATAAAATGAAAATTGGCATCATACCTGTATTTAGTAGACACCATTGTCCAAGGTGACCTACATGGTTCATACGTTTCCCATTAAAAAATTGGTATTTACTTGGTATGATTCGGGTCATTAGCCATTTTTTCAATACATTTTTCAAATACCCTAACTTGTCTTGTCCCTATTGGGGGAAAACCCTTCTGACCTTCTTGTTTTAATCAGCCAGTCAAAAGGGATACCATTTATAGAGCGTTATGGGCCAACAAACACATAGATCTGCAATGGGAAAGTGTCACTGAAAGACACATTGAATTTAGAAGGCTCTCAAAGGCCGAAAAGTCTCCACTGCTGAAGAACAGAATCCCATTTCATGCATGTAACATGTCTGTCTAATCTGACGGATGCATGTACCGAGGTTCTGGTTGGGCCAAGAGAGGATACCCACTCTCCTGCTCCCACTTCTCTGTTGCGCCTGATGGTGTGAGCAGTTTCAGTCTGTGTGCATTAGCCCTGAGTGATAGGAGAGAACATTTGGTACCTCAGAGCAGTAGTAGAGGCCATAGACAGTGGCAGTGGTAGGCTTCCATAGACAACTGCCTCACAGTCTGCTTCACTGCACTTCAGAGCTCAACAGCCAACCTCTACTGCCCATGGTGCACACATGTCCTCTGACCAGAAGCAGAAGCAGAAGCAGTCCTGCCTCTCTGTCTCGCCCTCTCCCTCCCTCTCTCTCTGTCCCCCCCCCCCTTTCTGTCTCTCTGATTCAAATTCAGAGTCAAATGTGCTTTATTGGCATGATCATACAAAGTACATTATTGTCAGAGTAAATTAGCTATCGATTTAATCAATGGTATTGCTATATATTACCACTACAAGATAATAGCAT